TCGCATATGCTTGCAGATCGCATATGCTTGCAGATTGCATATATGGCGCAGATCGCATATACTTGCAGACTGCACATGCTCGCACATCGCATATGCTTGCAGACCGCATATGCTTGCAGATCACATATGCTTGCAGATCGCATATGCTTGCAGATCGCATATGCTTGCAGACAGCATATGCTTGCAGATCGCATATGCTTGCAGACAGCATATGCTTGCAGATCGCATACGGCATATGCTTGCAGATCGCATATGCTTGCAGACGGCATAGGCTTGCAGATCGCATATGGCATATGCTTGCAGATCGCATATGGCATATGCTTGCAGATCGCATATGGCATATGCTTGCAGGTCGCATATGCTTGCAGGTCGCATATGTTTGCAGATCGCATATGCTTGCAGATCGCATATGCTTGCAGGTCGCATATGCTTGCAGATCGCATATGCTTGCAGATCACATATGCTTTCAGATCGCACATGGCATATTTGCAGATCACATATGCTTGCAGATCGCAGCTGGCATATGCTTGCAGCTGGCATATGCTTGCAGCTGGCATATGCTTGCAGATCGCATATGCTTGCAGATCGCATATGCTTGCAGATCGCATATGGCATATGCTTGCAGATCGCATATGGCATATGCTTGCAGATCGCATATTCTTGCATGTCGCATATTGCCCATGCTTGCATATGCAATATCCTTGCATATTGTGCATGCTTGCATATTGCGCATGCTTGCATATTGCGCATGCTTGCATATTCCAAATGCAGATCGCATATACTTGCAGACTGCACATGCTCGCACATCGCATATGCTTGCAGACAGCATATGCTTGCAGATCGCATATGCTTGCAGATCGCATATGCTTGCAGATCGCATATGGCATATGCTTGCAGATCGCATATGCTTGCAGATCGCATATGCTTGCAGATCGCATATGCTTGCAGAATCGCATATGCTTGCAGACAGCATATGCTTGCAGATCGCATATACTTGCAGACAGCATATGCTAGCAGATCGCATATGCTTGCAGATCGCATATGGCATATGCTTGCAGATCGCATATGGCATATGCTTGCAGATCGCATATGGCATATGCTTGCAGATCGCATATGGCATATGCTTGCAGGTCACATATGCTTGCAGATCGCATATGCTTATAGATCACAGCATAGCATAGCATAGCATAGCATAGCATAGCATAGCATAGCATAGCATAGCATAGCATAGCATAGCATAGCATAGCATAGCATAGCATAGCATAGCATAGCATAGCATAGCATAGCATAGCATAGCATAGCATAGCATAGCATAGCATAGCATAGCATAGCATAGCGCAGCATAGCACAGCGCAGCATAGCATAGCATAGCATAGCATAGCATAGCATAGCGTAGCGTAGCGTAGCGTAGCGTAGCGTAGCGTAGCATAGCATAGCATAGCATAGCATAGCATAGCATAGCATAGCATAGCATAGCATAGCGCAGCATAGCATAGCATAGCATAGCATAGCATAGCATAGCATAGCATAGCATAGCATAGCATAGCATAGCATAGCATAGCATAGCATAGCATAGCATAGCATAGCATAGCATAGCATAGCGTAGCGTAGCGTAGCGTAGCGTAGCATAGCATAGCATAGCATAGCATAGCATAGCATAGCATAGCATAGCATAGCATAGCATAGCG